ACAGAAAACGACCACAAACATAACACAAAAACCAACCGAACACGGATTCCAACAACAAAAAAAAAATCAGAAAAACGACCGCAATCATAAAATGATAACGACGGCGACAGCGAGAACGGCAACAGCGGACGATTATAATGAACACGACGACCACGACAAAGGAAAGGCACGCGACGACGACGACGGACAAACAAAAGACAAGACAGGCTGGAACAGAAAAAGTAGGCTGAGCGACAACGGGTGGGGGCCCGCGTGGACGAGAGAAAAGCACGGTGTCGACACCATGATGTGGCCAGGGCAGCAGACTACCTCGACAGACCAGCGCGGCAGGCCATCATTTAGTCTGTTCTGTTGCGTTTATGGGTTTCTCTGACGTTCTCGCCAATACGGTCTCTGACGCACGTGGTGGATAAAAAACGGCGCTTCCCGTTCTTGTCCGGTCAGGTTTTTCAGGCTTTGTGTTGCGTTTTCGCTTGTTTTCGGTGGTTCTCCAGCCTCGGGAGCCCTCGGGCGGCTGCGCCTCGCCGAGGGCCAACCCCAGGGCTGCCCATGGATCGTCCCGAGCGGCCACCGGAGGCCCGAGCCAGGACCCGCAGGCCACAGGGGGACGAGCTCCCGGAGGGGTGCATCAACTCCTCCTCCTCCTCCTCCTCCTCCTTCTCCTCCTCCTCCTCCTCTTCCTTTTCCTCCTCCTTCTCCTCCTCCTCCTCCTCCTCATCATGATCCTCATCTTTCATCCTTTCCCTCTCCTCTTTCTTCCTTCTCTTCTCCTCCTACTCCCTCATACCTCCTTCCTAATCCTCCGCCTCCATCCTCATCCTCCTCTTCCGTTCCCCTCCTCACCTCTACTCCCTCCTTCTCTCCTCCCTCCCTCTCTTCCTCCCTCTCCTCCTCCCTTCCTCCCTCCTCTCTTCTCTCCCTCCTCCCCTCATCTCCTCCCTCCTTCCTCTCCCTCATCCCTCCTCCCTCCTCCCTCCTCCTTCCTCCTCCCTCCTCCTCTCTCCTCCTCCCTGATCCTTCCTCCTCCTCCCTCCTTCTCCCTCCGCCCATTCGTCGCCGACGGGGGGCAGGGTGGCCCCCCACCCCCCAGGGGCCAGCGGATTTGCTATCGGCGGCCTATCGCCGATCTATGGGGGATGTATCGCCAGTTCCAGCTCGATGTTTCCCTCAACCTTCCCTCAAGCGAGCGACGCAACAAAACGGAGTCGTCTGCACCGACATCGGTGCGCAAGCTGCCCGCGCAAGGTCGCGCGCAGGCGTGCCCTCGTCTCCAATGTGGCGTGCCGCGCCGGCGCTCCGCGCAAGCCACCGCGTAAGGTCGCTATGCCACCTCGCGTAAGAGCCGCTTCTGATCGTCGCTCAGGTGGTGGAGGAGGAGGAGGAGGAGGAGGGGAGGGGGGAGGAGGAGGACGTAGTGGGGGGGGAGGGCAGGGAAGAGGTGGAAGAAGGTCGTCGTTGAGGAGGAGGAGGAGGGTTGGGGAGGAGGAGGGATGGAGGAGGAGGAGGAGGAGAACGAGGGAGAACGAGGAGGAGGAGGAAGGAAGAGGAGAGGGAGGAGGAGGAGGGGAGGAGGATGGTGGGGGGTGGGCAGCATTGACGTCGACGACGCGCCAGACGTGACCCTTCGCAGGGTGGATCTGCGGGTCACCAGACGCACCCCTGAGCGCACAGATGGGCCTGCTGTGGCTAGTGGCAGCCGCCGGCACGACTCGGGTTTGCCCCCCCCCCCCCCCCCCCCTCACCCCAGGAGCGAAAAGGTGGACGTACACGTACCCTGGTGGTCTTAAGTCTTGCCCCCCCCACCCCCCCCCCCCCCCTATGTTTCTCTCGGCGGGGAAACGAACTCGCAACCCCCTCCTCCTCCTCATCCTCCTCCTCCTCCTCCTCCTCTCCTCTCTTTCCTCCTCCTCCTCCTCATCCTCCTCCTCCTCCTCCCTGGTCCTGTCCTCTCCTCCCTACTCCTCCCCCCTCCTCCCTCATCCTCCCTCCTTGTATTCCTTCTCTCCTCCTTCCTCCTCCTTCCCTCCTCCTCCTCCTCCTACATCTGTCCCCCATTAAAATAGCTCCTTCCTGCCCCGCCCCCACCCAACCCACCCCCACTCCTGCTCCTCCTCCGCCTCCTCCTCCTCCTCCTTCTCCCACCCCCTTAGGAGCGAAATAAGGACGTATTTACACTTACATGAATGCACTTCGGTTTCGAGAGTACGTGCGCGCTACGCGAACGCTCGTATCACGCGGCCAGTCTCGCGAAGTGGGGGGCCGTGTTCATGTATGTGGTTGGGCGCATGCGTCCTCTGTGGGCTCCCTGCTGCCCCCTGCTTGCCCTCCCCGCGGCCCCCAAAAGGCACTCACCAGAGGTCGCCCCTTGTCGAGCAGTCACGCCTGCATGCTGCCGACCTCGGGCCGGAGGGGGATCGGCCCCCGTCTCAGTCACGCGCAGAGGGGGGAAGGGGGAAGGCGTCTGAGAAGCACCCACCCTTACTTCTCAGAAGGCGCGGGCCTTGGCTATTGATGCAGGGTTCGGCGCCTTCAAAGAAGCAGCCTCCGAAGAAGCCTTCTCAGACCCCCGACGTCATGATTTGTTTCATTTCGTCGACCCCTAGAGGTCTCGACACATTCCGCGGGACCGGTGTTTCATCCTGAGTCGTTTTCTGACGGTCCCGAGGCCCAGTGAGGGCCTCCAGAGGCCCAAAGTATGAAACACTTCTCGGGGGCGGCAAAGAGGGGGTGATGACTAGGGGGGGGGTATCATGACGGGAGCCATGAGATTTCCATAGATTTCATGGCGCCTCTTCTTGTTTCAATACGTCCCTGGCCCCCCCCCCCAGGGCCGTGCACATGCCGCCGGCCATGATTTGCACACACCCCTCTTGGACGCACCCCTCTTTGCCGCCCCCGAAACTCCCCGTCGTGATTCTTTCAATGCCCAAGGGGTTCTGGGTCCCCCCCTCCCCCTGACCCCCTGGTGCGCGCCGCCCACCGTCGCCGAGGGAGCGGAGGCTCGGGGAGGGCGAGGGGGGCTCGCGGGGGCCGGGACCCGGGGCGCCCGGCGCCGACCAGGCCGTGCATCTCGGGGCCGGGCCCCGGATCTCATCTCGTGGAGCTTAATTCTCTTGCACAGCTGAGTTCTAGATCTCGGACCTCTTTATTTTCATTGTCGTCGTTCGTTCGTCTGTCGTTCGTCTTCCCCCCTCCCCCTCCGGCCACAGAAGGGAACTCCAAGAGGAAGGAGGCGAAAGCCTCCTGTCCCTCGCAGCTCCTTGGTGCAAGAGCCAGGGCACGCGTGCCACTTCTTCAACCCCTGACCCTGATAATTCATTGGCACAATGAGTTCGTGGCCTGACTTGGGTCGTCAGTCTTTGGGGTTCAGCGAGGTTTTCAGACCCCCCCCCCTCCAATATTAGTGGAAACTAATTACTTCTGTGTTCGGCGACCTTCTTGACGGTCTGGGGCCGCACCAACACTGAAAAATATGTATTTTTCCGCGGCGCCCTCCGCACAACAATAACAACGACGACGACGACCACGACGAGATGAAGGAGGAGATCGTGAGCAACGCCTTCGGCGAATGATGTGTCGGTCTAGATTGCCATTCTCGCACTAACGAGCTCAAATTCCTCTGTCGTGCAGGGTCGCCCAGGGAGCGTTATTGGGAGAAAGAACCCCCCCAACATTATCCAGCCCGCTCAGGGATGGAGGAACAATAATCACCGCCGCGACGACGACGACGATTACGACGACGACTACGAGTACGACCGCGATTGCGACTACAACCGCGACTACGATCACCACCACAAGCACGACTACAATCACGATTACAACCACAACTATTGACTCCTACTGCAATCCCCATGAGAAGTTGCTGACACATCCTCTTGCGTGTATGGTCGCCCGCAATTGATGATTCCCTGGGAAAAACAACGACCCCCCCCAACATTATCCAGCACGCCTAATAATAGAGGGAAACTAATCTCTGCCGCGACGACGAAGACCACGATAATGACCACAATGGGGAACATGACGAGGACGAGGACCAGTGTAAACCCAGGACTCATACGATGAAGAGGAGGAAGAGAATGGAGAGGAGGAGGAGGAGGAGGAGGAGCAGGCGGAGGAGGAGGGACCAGTTCTAGTCACCGCCGAGAGAAACAGGGGGGGATAGCAAATCCAAAGACCTCCTGATGTGGGTGGTTTCGTCTGAGACCTCTGCAAAAAAGACCCCACCTAATTTAATTTGTTTTGCCCTCCTATAGGGTCCCCTCCCAAAGGATAAGGGTATTGTTGCTGCTCCTCATGCTCGTTTTCCTGCCCTCCACCCCCCGGCGACGGCGGCGACCCTTGATTTTGACGATCTCGACGACGACGGAGACGACCGCGACGACTACCTCTCGACACCCTCGACGGCGACCTCGACGACGACTGCGGCGGCCTCGACGACGGTGGCGGCGACGACGGTGACGAACACGTCGATGATGATGTCGACGACGACGACGACGACAACGACGTCGACGGCGATGGCGACGACGACGACGACGACCATGAGCACGACGACGACGACGACGAACACGAAGACGACGTAGAACACGGCGACGACGACGTCTGTGAAGACAAGACGACGAATATTCCAGAACGACGACGGCGAGTTTGGCAACATCGACGACGACTTTGACGACGAAGACGACGGCGGCGGTGGCGTTGACGACGATGGCAGTGTTTGTCCTTGGAGATCTCGGGGATTTCGAAAGAGAGACCTTCGGAGGTCGTCATAGTTTTTCATAATTACCTGGAGGCCTCCGGATGCCTCTGGTTGTATGAGACGGGCCAGTGGCTTCCGAAAGCTTCGATCATCGAAACAGAGGAGCCAGGCGCCATCATACTGATGCGTTCCAAGTTCTCCAAGACTCCTCAGCTTCCCACAGTCTCCTATTGCTCAGCTCGCGCTCCATACTCGAGGAATCACCACGACATCGTTGTCGCCCCATCGACGCCTCGGGCCCCGA